TTCCTTCTTTCCTTCCATCCATCCCCTCACCCTCCTTCCTCATTTTTACTTCAGGAAATCACCAAACGGGAAGCAGCGAGTAGGCAGTTAAGCTGTATTCAGCTGCCTGTCGACTCGTCGGTGGTATGTAAGACCTGGCATGAACACCACAAGCTTTGTCTGACAGTTCTCTCTCCTCCAATCTCTCTATCTCTGTGCCCATCTTTCTCCCTCTCTGTGTTGTGAGCACTCACATCATTGCCACTGTTCTCATTATGATAGATGTTTGGTTATGAATTTGTTCTCATTGTCAAGTTGACCTTGATTTTAAGTCTCTTCCTTCTTTGAGGGAATTAAGAGGGTGTCTCTCCGATAAATGAAAACCTCTTCTAGACTTCTACTTGTTAAGATTCTTCTTTTTAAACTTCAGGGCCCCTGCCAGCATTTCCAAAGGGGGAAGATCTTGAAGTGAACTTCCCACCACCTAGAAGCTTAGCAGCGTGCCTTGGCACATCATAGATGAGCAGAAACACATGCTGCTTGCTCTAACTTTGTGTGTAGCTCTTGGATTTGGCTGAGCCAGGATAATTGATTGTTGCTTGAATCTATCATATTAATACACATTCCTGAACACTGATTTTAATGGATATAGGTTTATGTTTCTAATTTTTGGAGACAGAGCATTATTATTTCAGCTGGCTCAGTTATATTATTATCAACAGCAAAGGAGTATGAACTTAGGCCCAGAAACAATTCAGGTCAATAAGAAATTTGCCCATATGCTCAAAGTGAATTCTAAGAAAATATAAACCATATTGTTGGCAAGTCATAATCTCCATTGTAGACATACCTTACAAATTGTCACTTAACCCTTTTGCATGCCAAGGCCAACTCTCTTTTAAAAAAGAGAAAAGGAGAGAGAGACAGAGACACTAGGAAAACTCATCAAAGACAGACGGGACCTAAAATCAAGCATGCTTTGTGGATGCTCATATGTGAGAAGACTCTGTCCTAAAAAAGGCCATTCTAGAATTGAGGCAGCTACTGACAGCATTAAAAAAAAAAAAAAATCTGATTCATTTAGTTTATCTGGGCATACCACCAGAGGCCTTGGGGAAATTTTTCTTGAGTTTTCTCTAGGAGAGGTCAGAATTTCTCTAGGAGAGGTCAATAAAAAGAGGAACACTTCTTTCTTAACGGATGTCTAAAATGTTGGTAGAATATTGTTACAGCCTTTTAAAAATAAAGCAAACAAAGGACAACACTCATGCATGTGTCAGATATTGCCGTCATGCAAATCTACTACCCTGCCTTAAATCTGTGAAATCAGCACATCACAAATTCTGCCATCTTTGTCATTGCCTACTCCCACTATAAGTCTGTCCTTCCCTATTTTTCTCAGTTTCTGTCTAGTATTAGAAGTGGTGGTTTTTGTTTAGATCCAGGGTCCTTTCTTTGACAACCCAGGCTTCTTTAACCTGGTGCTTTCCAGAGGTATTGGAACTACAACATCTTCTGGCCAGCATGATCTGTACTTCTGGAGAGCACCAAAGTCAGGACAGCTGTAATAGCCATAGGCTGCCTTCCTACATGCTGGCCCGTTTCCTGCAGTTCATGGCACATCTCATGCTTTTCATGAACAAACTATACCTTTGCTCACCTAATGCCTTTTTCATTCAGAAAGGCAAACTAGGAGTGAAAAAACAGGTAATTTCTTTGGGAGCCCAAGTGGGTAAGGCTTGCCTGTAGTAAACTTAGTGCTTAGCATTTTCAAGTTGCTGTTGGGTTCTATGGCAGGATGCTGTATTCTAAAGGAAAAAAATGGGTTTGGTACTAAAGGGTGGGAGGATAAAATAATGGCAGTTATATTAAATCTCACATCAGCCAAACTGTCACCTAACAACTAAAAAACTTGTTTGGAACACAAACTAAAAAACAAAAAAAACCATATTAAATTCCATTTCTGCCAATTGCAATGTTATTGGAAGGCTTTTAATGCAGACTCCCTTTTTATTTTAAAGTAAGGATGGTTTCACTAACCAGTGTCATTAATGCTTTTTGGAGCTTTTTAACGAGCTTTAGCTTCAAACATTTGTGAAGATATTGCTTACAATGTGCACCAAGCATCATTTTACATAATGCTTACATCTGCATTTTCAACAACACTATAAAGACACAGGTCTGCACAGGCATTTTTCTCACATTCACATGATCCTTTTTAAATCAGATTTGAACTGCAGGAAAAGTTGGCTGACAAAACATAGTTGTCCATGTGGTCATCCTAAATTCGTCAAGCTTCAAGCCAATCCACTACCCATTGGACTGCGTAGGTTTTGAAGCATATGAACAGAAATGATCTTTTGGGGATATTTAATTAAGATTGCAGTTTATCTTATTAATCATTTATTATTGAGAAAATGAGCTCAAATGCATTGTCTGAATAAAGAGAAATAGGCAGCTATTTTACAACAGCATTATTAATTCATTTCTCAAGAGACCATTTCCATTGTGACTCTTAAGCAATACAAAATAAATAAAGACCATCCTTTACATTGGATTAAATTCTTTTGGTATAAGGGATCTGTTAATCATGAAAGATTGAAATGCTACACTTAAATTAATAGGCATTTGGGCAACCATGAAGAGAAAATTACTTTATCTTTTTTTACATTATGCTTCTTACAGTATTTTATGAAGAAACATGGGTAAGACCTAACCAAATTACTAATGAATTAATCCATGAATTGCAGATGTGAATGGATTACTGCTTCTAGCCTTATTTCAGCATTCAAAGAAGCAGATGATTTCTAATATATTTATTTGGAAAATATCCAAAGGAGGTGACATCAGCTTAACTCTGAGTCACAACAAAAATCTAGTTGCAAGTTCATCTTAGCTGAGTGTTCTGTGTTCTTCAGAGGTATTTTTTTTTAAAGGTCCCACCCACTATGAAGCCAGGCAATCAAAGATTTCTCATAACAGCTTTACTTAAACATTTAGAAACAGGATTCCTGGAAGGAGCCTGAGGATGTGCATCCTGGCCTCATTGCCTTGAGCCTGACCTCCAAGTGTTGATGGGGAAGACTGCTAGGAAGCTGCTGGGATCATGCAGTTACGGTTCACTAGACTGTCAAGTGCAAGGACGATTCCTGTCAGGTAGAGAGCTCTCTTCAAACCGTCACCTGCAGCAGCCAGAACCAAGTGGAAAAGAGCCGGGGCCACCCTGCACAGCTCATGCTCCTTCCCCATTTCGAGTTTCCAAAGGCCTGAATAGGGATGGAAAGGCGCAGGCTTTCCTATTTATGCATTCACTGTGCTTAGGTGCAAGATACATCTGTGAAAAAGGCCACAGCTTGATTGGAGAGAAATGCCTTGCAGATATGTTTATCTACATAGATGCCCAAGCACACATTTAGCTGGAAAAATAAAGGTCACTTATACTGATGATGTGACCTGGACTTTAATCAGGCAAAATTTTCAATTAATTTCAAAAGTCTGCTCTTGAACATTATCCTCCCAACCAAGCCCATTCCATTTTAAGTTTTTCTCAAGCATCCAATGCCATCCTGGTGAGCTAACGCTTTTTAGTACAGCAGCATGGATTTTGTTGTATTTTGCTGGGTTAATTACCTTTCTTTCCTGATTTGATAAGACTTTTTTTTTGTGTTATCACCTATTGATTTCCTCTGTTGACTGTCTTCATGAAGCTACCTTGGGTCAGAATTGCCAGAAAGCAGCCTTCAGTCCTTCTGGGCTATTCTATTCCTGGCTCATATAATAGGTTATTACATTACATTAAGCCATGGTTGCTTAATTGTGATTTCTTCAATAAGCCACAGTTGACTGGATTCAAATATCATAGTTAGCCATTAACCATGGCTTATAAACTACAGTGCCTATATTCACAAAACACATTAAACCAAAACCAAACCTTGCTGTGGCTTAGTGCAATGTCTTAATATGCCACCATTATCATTAGATTAGTCCAGAGATGGGCTCCAATATGGTAATAATGCTTGATCTAAAAATCTGGCCAAGAAAGGAAATGGCAGAGACAAATAAAGACAACATTGAATATTAAAGAAATTCTATTTGATAAAAAAGCCTTGCCAGTATGGTAAATGCCCATTATTTACAGGCCATTGATTCTGATTTCACTGTCAGAAGCCGAGCATCACTTTTGAGAGATACCCCTTCCATTTATCCTAATGGCTGTATGAATTAAATCAAGGGTAGGCCCAGCCCCTGAATACCACCCCCCCACACACACCCCCAAGTTCATGCCGATTTCAGAATTCATCCATCTCAACCAGATCTCTGGTTAAGCAATTTGGAGAGGTAGAAGTCAGGCTGTTTTATGAAACTGCAGTGGCTCCATGGATTGAAAAAATAGTCCCAGCCTTGTTCCTTCCAACAATTCAGATTAATGGTTCTGTATTTATAGGAATCGATCTGAAAAGTATATACAGTATATTTTGATTCAAGGCTGCATGCAATTGGCTATAATTTCTGTCTTCCATTTACCACCCCCACCATTCTTATTTAGCCAACATAAACACCCAGATATACTTTCAGATTTCTGATTAAAATTTGGGCTACTGTGATTGGGCTAAAATATTTATTTGAGTAGAAAGAATGGTAAGTGCTTGGGAATTAGGCTATGTTAGAGGTTCCTTTGAAGACCTCAGAAAATATGTTAGGAGGGGAGGGGGGTTAACCCTGGGAGTTAACTATGCTTCCAGGCCGAGTTTCTACCAGGATGAAACCAATTATTTTTGCTTCTCTCACGTCTTTAGCTGCTTTACCTGCCCTTTCCGAAAGTGTATTGCGTAGTGAAACAGATATGGAATTAAATATTTGCATGCCTCATGTTGTGGAAGGTGGTGTCCTACTGTGGCAACAGTTTCAGTGGAACAGTGAATCTTGTGTGGGGGAAGAAAGAACCCCTTTATTCAGGTGGGGAATGGCCAGCTGACTTTCCCTCCTTTTCCTGTTGGCTAAGGCACTTTGTTTTTCTCCAGGGGGACGCTACTAAATCGGATTCTGAGGGGGAACTTTTCCCCCATAGTTTGGAAGAAGAGTCTGGACTTAAGAAAAATTTTTCAAATCCAGCCTGTAAGTAATGATGTTAAGTGCTGCTGTTTTTCCTGCAAGGAAATGTGTCCATTTATAGTGTAAAATTTCATATATGTGTTTATATATCTATGAGAAGCCCTTATATCTTGCCTTGTTTTGTTTTCTTTTTCTTTTTTGTTACCATTTGATTATTTTTCTCTTGGTTCTGCTTTATTTATTTAATAAAACAGAACCAAGAGAAAAATAATCAAATGGTAACAAGAAAGAAAAAAAAAGTAATGAAATAAATAAATAAATAAATAAATAAATAAATAAATAAAGGGGGGGAGGAAATGTATTATCTCACTTTAGTATGCCTTTGATTATTGATTATGTGCTGGTGTCAACTCTTAGCGACTACATACTTTTTCTCCAAGACTGACTGTCTCCAACCTGGTCCTTCAGGTCTTCCAGAGGTGCCCCCATTGCCACTGTAATTGAGTCCATCCAGTTTGCTGCTGGTCATCTTCTTCTTCTCTTTCCTTCTATCTTTCCCAGCATTAGAGCGTTCTCCAGAGTGCTGAGTCTTCACATAATGTGTCTGAATTAGTATGCCTTAGGAGGACTTAATGGACTGCAAAAATCTGATTGATCATTAGATGGCAACAAAGGGATGCAGAAACCTCTACATTTGCTACCATCTAGTGGCCCCTTCCTGAATTTTGGTAGCACAGATACAGTCCCTGTAGTAATAATAATGGATACTGTAGTGTGTGTGTGTGTGTGTGTGTGTGTGTGTGTGTGTGTGTTGAGAGCTTCAGTCAATATTACATGATTTGATTAAAGATAATATGATGTAAGAAATGTCTTGAGAAAGATTCTCTTCACTGGAGGAGCTCAGCAACATTAACTGGGTGGAGAACGGGGGCAGCTCAAGCTATAAATAATTTTGAATCTGATGTATGGTTTATCATATGGTGTTAAGCTTACATTTGGGACAAAAATCTCTCCATGATAAACAGTGAAGGGGAAATATTGCTCTCAGTGTGCATTAAGAGTGAGAAATCTATGGCCTTCATAGGTTAAGTCCTGTTAAATCCTGACTCCTAAGGTAGAGAGACAATGGTAGTTGCAGTTCAGCAACAGCTGGGAGGCCACTTCTAGCACACCCCTGCTACATGTGATTGTCATCCATCTTGCATACTTTTTAGGATGCCATTAAAGGGTATAATCTGAGAGGAAGCTGGCCTTGTCAGTATCTTAAAGCAAGAGTAGGAAAACAGAGGGGTGCTATTTGTAATTCATGAGTAGACAGTAAAAGGGCCCAGAGAACTTGGAAAATGAAGGTTTGTGAGTCTCCTATTAGAAGATTGGGAGACATAAGAAAGAGGAAAGATCGAGACATGGTATGAAAGTTGTCCTGGCCACATGGATTCATATGTCTCTGCCTATATAGGGTATGATATGAATGTCTTGTTTCTTATTTTTTCAGTGATGGCTCTTTGTGATCACCCAGAGCTAAAGAAGAGCTTGACTCCCCCACTTATCATTCACACAGCTGCTACACCCATGCCCTTGCCAAAAAGTGCCATCTATGGAGAAGTGGCTCAGGATTATGATTCCCGAAGAGCTAGCGGCATCTCCATGGATCCTAATACATTTGATCTCAAATCCCCGGTATGTGGCTCACCTTCTCCCTTGTAGCCTTTGCTTCTTGCCTTTACTCCCAGTTTGCCAGCATCTTTTAATTAATTTATTCCACCAGTTGGATGTCTTGGGGCATTATTAATTTTGTTCAGGCCCCAAATGGTTATTGCTTCTGGCGTTCAGTTGATATTCTTGGCTTTCTCACTTGCTTCACTTCAGGTCAGCACCCGGAGCTCTCCACATGGCCCATGGAGTACAGGAAGTAGCTGGAACAGCCGCAGGTCGAGCTGGAACAGCATCGGGCGGGCACCTAGCTTGAAACGCCGCACAAACCAGAGCAGTGAGCATAAATCGCTTTTGTCAGGGGATGGAAAGCAGAGTTCGGAGGAAGGGGAAAGCTCAGATGAAGAACAATCCAGCCGGACTGGGAGCGTTAACGGCTCTATACCTCACCGCATGGAGTCATTAGAAACCAAAGGCTCCTTTGACTTCCAAGATACCCTGCAGGTGCCTTCTCTCTACCGGACCAGCAGCATCCATAGTAGCCACAGCACTACAACAGAGCGCCAAGACTACAATGGCAAAACAACCCCAAGAGTCTTGATTCAGCAGCTTCATTTGGATGATCCGCTCCCAGAATGTGATGATTTGGACGATGAGGGCAACTTAGTAAGTGAGAGCCAGATTACCTGGCACCGTTTTGCTTCTGTTTTGATTTTTTTTTTCTGTAGAAGAGAGTAAAACGTTCTGATCCTTGTTACTTTGCAGGAACATAACATTTCATTCCAATATACTCTTAACTATTGGGCACTGACATATTTATTCATTAATAAATAACCCAAGTGTGTATGCTAGAGAAATCACAGTTGTCATAACTTTAACATGCCCATAAGAAATTATGTCATCATATCATATCATATCATATCATATCATATCATATCATATCATATCATAT